TCAAGCCAAAGTTAATCAGAAGAAAAAAGGAAAGTCACTTCATATAGTTAAAGGGAACAGTCCAACAATAATACATAATGATAGTAAATATTTATGCCCCAAATGTTGGTGTACCTAATTATATAAAACATACACTACTCAAATTAAAGACCCAGATAGACCCCAATACAATACACCTCTCACAGATAGATAGGTTATCCAAACCTAAACTCAGTAAAGACTCTTTACACCTAAAAAAATTATAAATCAAATGGATTTAACAGGCATCTATAAACTATTTAATCCAACAATATACAAATATGGTTTCTTCTCAGACGTCCATGCAACTTTCTCCAAAACAGACCATATTTTAGACCACAAAGCAACTCTTAGCAAATACAAAAAAATTTGATATAATTATTTGTATCTTATCTGATCATAATGGAATTAATTTAAAATCAACAGCAAAAACCCTATAGGAACCATATAAACACACAGAGACTGAACAACAATACACTTCTGAATAATAAATTGGTGCTAGAAGAAATCAGGAGAGAAATTTAAAAATTCTTAGACTCAAACAAGAATAGTGATATGACATACCAGAACTTCTGAGACACTATGAAGATGGGCCTTAGAGAAAAGTTTATATCTATGAGTGCCTACATAAGAAGATGATAAAGAACCCAGATAAACAACCTAATGATGCATCTCAATGCCCTTGAAAAACAAGAGCACACCAATTTCAAAACTGGTAGAAGGAAATAATTAAGATCAAAGCCCAAAATCAATGAAATTAAGAAAAAAATACAGAGGATCAGTGAAATGCAGAATTGGTTATTTGAAAAGATAAGATAGTCAAACTAAACAAAAGAAAAAAGAGCCAAATTAACAAAACTAGTAATCAGAAAGAAGAAATCACCTCAGATATCACAGAAATACAGAAGATCATTAAAGATTATTTTGAATAAACTTAAACTCCAATAAATTGGATAACCTAAAAGAAATAGATTCATGTCTAGACACATATGACCTGCCAAAATTGAATAAAGAGGATCAATAACCAGCAACGAGATAGAAGCAGTAATAATAATAAAAAAAAACCTTCCAACAAAGAAAGCCCAGGACCAGATGGATTCTCAGCTGAATTCTACCAGATCTTTAAAGAACTAATGCCAATGCTCCTCAAATTATTCCATGAAATAGAAATTTATTCTATGAAGCCAGCATCACCCTCATACCAAAACCAAATGAGGACACTTCAAGAAAGAAAACTACAGACCAATATCTCTGTTGAAATTGGATTAAAAAAGCCTTAATAAAATATTAGCAAATCATATTTAACAACATATTAAGTAGATTGTACATTAGAACCAAGTAGGTTTTATCCTAGGGATGCAAGGATGATTTAACAAATCAATAAATGTAACTCACTGGATAAACAGATTCAAGGACAGAAATCACAGTCATCTCAACAGATGCAGAGAAGGCCTTTCACAAAATTCAGCACCCATTCTTTTTTTTTTTTTTTAAGAATTTTTTAATATTTATTTTTTAGTTCTCGGCGGACACAACATCTTTGTTGGTATGTGGTGCTGAGGATCGAACCCGGGCCGCACGCATGCCAGGCGAGCGCGCTACCGCTTAAGCCACATCCCCAGCCCCAGCACCCATTCTTAATAAAAACACTGTAGATACTAGGGATGAGGGAATTTACCTCAACATCATAAAGGCTATATGAAAATCCAAAGGCAACCTCATAGTAAATGGGGAAAAACTGATAACATTTCCTTTAAAATCTTGAATAAGACACAAATGTCCACTCCCACCACTCCTATTCAATATAGTACTAGAAATTCTAGACAGAGCAATTAGGCAAGAGAAGGAAATAAAAGGACTCAAAACAGGAAGAGAAGAAGTTGAATTATTACAGTTTGCAGATGATATGATCCTATATATAGAAGATCCAAAAAGCTCCACCAGAAGACTGCTATGGCTAATAAATTCAGCAAAGTAGCAGGCTATAAAATCAACACAAAAAATAATTACATTTCCTACACATGAATAATGCATTTTCTGAGAAAGAAATCAGGGAAACAATTCCATTCACAATGGTCTTAAAAATACCAATAAATATATGAAAAAATGTTTAACATCATTAGCAATCAGGGAAATGCAAATCAAAACTACACTGACCTTTATTTTATCTATCTATCTATCTATCTATCTATCTATCTATCTATCTATCTATCTATTTATCTATTTATTTGCAGTGCTGAGAATTGAACCCAGTGCCTTACAATGCTAGGCAGATCCTGCATTATATGTAAAACTGTATGCATATATTTTTTTAAAAAACTACACTGAGATTTCATCTCACACCAATCAGAACGGCAGTCATCAAAATTACAAACAATAATTAATGGTAGAGAAGTTGTAGAGAAAAAGGAACACTTCTACACTTTTGATAGGATTGTAAATTAGTACAACCACTATGAAAATCAGTATGGAGTTTCCTCAAAAGTATAGGAATGGAGCCTGATATGGTGACACATACCCGTAATCCCAGTGGCTGGAGAGACTGAGGCAGGAGGACCACAGGTTCAAAGCCAGCCTCAGGTACTTACCAAGGCTATAAGCAACCCAGTGAAACCCTGTCTCAAGATTTTAAAATGTTCTTTTTCTTTTTTTAAATATTTTTATTTGTTTATTTTTATGTGGTGTCAGGGATAGAACCCAGTGCTTCAGGCATGCTAGGCAAGTGCTCTACCATTGAGCCACAACCCCAGCCCTTAAAATTTTCTTTTAAAAAGGGTTGGGGATGTGGCTCAGTGGTTATGTGCCCTTGAGTTCAATCCCTGGTGTCAAACAAAACAAAAGACTAGAAATGGAATCACCATAAAATCTAGGCCACACTATTCCTCAGTATTTATCCTAAAGAATTAATATCTGCACACTATACATGCATACTGTGTTCATAGTGGTACAGTCCACAATAACTAGGTGTCTGTCGATGGATAAAAAAAAAATGTGGTATATATACACAATAGAGTTTTATTTGGCCATAAAGAAATATAAAATTGGGCTGGGGTTGTGGCTCAGTGGTAGAGCGCTCGCCTAGCATGCGTGAGGCCTGGGTTCGATCCTCAGCACCACATAAAAATAAATAAATAAAATAAAGGTATTGTGTCTAACCAAAAAAAATATTAATAAATAAATAAATATGAAATTATGTTATCTTCAGGAAAATGGATGGAACTAGTAACCATCATTTTAAGTGAAATAAGTCAGACTCGGAAGGTTAAGGGTCATATGTTTCTCTCATACATAAAACCTAGAGAGGAAATTGGAAAAGAAAGGCGAGGGCATCTGATGAAAATCAAAGGGAGATAAGTGGAATAAAGGGAAGGAACCAGAGGGAGGGAGGAGGAAAGGGAAATACTAGGGGATTATATTGGCCAAATTATATTGTTGTATTGTATGCCTGAATGAATATGTAACAACAAATCTCATTGTTATGTACAAATACAATGCACCCTTAAAAATTAGATTAATGGAGCTGAGGATATAGCTCAGTTGGTAGAGTGCTTGTCTCGAATGCACAAGGCCCTGAGTTCAATCCCCAGTACCAAAAATTTTAAAAAAAATTAAAATAAAAAACTGGATTAAAAGAATATATATATAAAAACTGGGCGTGGTGGCACATGCCTGTAATCTCAGCAGTTCAGGAGGCTAAGGCAGGAGGGTTTTGAGTTCTTAGTTAGCCTCAGCAACTTACCAAGGTCCTTAAGCAACTTAGCGAGACCCTGTCTCTAAATAAAATATAAAAAAGGGAGGGGATGTGACTCAGTGGTTAAGTGCCCCTTTGGCTGCCTACATCAGTCCTTTTGTAAAATATTTTTTTTAGTTGTAGATGGACTCAACACCTTTATGTTATTTATGTATTTTTATGTGGTGTTGAGGATTGAACCCAGTGCCTCACTTGTGCTAGGAAAGCACTCTACTGATGAGCTACAACCCAGCCTTTTTTTTTTTTTTTTTTTTTTAAGGAAAAAAGTATTATTCAGGAGGTAGAGTCAGCAGCAAATAGAGCACTTGCCTCCCACATGTGCTTGATCACACTGGGTTCTACCTTTAACACCACATAAAAATAAATAAAATAAATAAAGATACTGTGTCTATCTTTGAAAAAAAATTTTTAAAAACAAAATCCTTTCTAGGAAACAGAACTGTGTTCCAAACAAACAGAAACTGGTGATACATGTCCACCTAGAATTACAAATTGCTACAGACTAATAATTGTTATGTACCTCTTATTTTTCCTGTATATATTTTTTTAGTTATTGATAGACCTAAATTTATTTATTTATATGTGGTGCTGGTTGAGAACTGAACCCAGTGCCTCACACATGCCAGGCAGGTGTGCTGCCACTAAGCCACAGCAACAGCCCCTTTCCTGTTTCTTAGTGGTAGTATCTCTTATGGTTATCCTACCTCTGTCTCAACATTGCATGTTAATGCACTGAGTGTATATGGATCGGTTAACTTCTGTGTTAGTTCAAGGTCTTCAAATCAAGAATCATATGCCCTGGGCTCAGTGGAAGCACACCTGTAATCCCAGCAGTTTGGGAGGCTGAAGCAGGAGGATTGCAAATTCCAAGCCAGCCACAGTAACTTAGCCAGGTACTATGCAACTTAGCAAGACCCAATATTAAAAAAAAAAAAATTAATGGCTGGGAATGTGGCTCCATGGTTAAGTGATCCTGGGTTCAGTTTCTAGTACAAAAAAAAAAAGAATCATACCCAAGGAGTTGAATCCAAGTACCACACTTAAGGAGACTCATCTATACCCTGTACCTAGACATGATGCAGACAATGACATCCTGAGTCTTGAGTGGATTCAATATCAGAATGTAGTTTTTGAGAGGGGAGAAGTCTTAGGAAGGATGTGTGTGTTTTGCATGTGGGCATGTGGGAAGGACATAGATTTCTGTGGCTATGGGTAGCTTCTTAGTGCATACCTGTGAATGCTCTCTTTAGGAAGTATAAATATTAATTCTTCTCTAATGCTGGACTCCAAAACTGCATTTGGTATGTGATGATAAATAAGATAAATAAGATGTCACAGTAAGGATTTCTCAGTAAAGTCATATAGTATCCTGCACCTGAAACACCACGTAAAAGACCATGAAACCATTTTACTCTTTATACTTCTCTTCTTGGGCCACACTTGGTCTTCTGTGGCTCAGAATGGGAAGCTCCAGGGGGAAAGCGAYGCTAGAGAGCCTTGTGGGGTTAAGTTTAAACAATGAGGAACTGGTTGGCTTCAGAAGTTCTGTAATGCTATTGTGGAATTTTCCCTTCTGCTCCAGAAGAGGGAGGTGTTATATTGCAATGCCAGGCAATATGAAGGACAACTGCATTAAGGGCAACACTCCCTTTAAGTGATAACTAACTGGGGGAAGTAAACACTTGGAAGGCAGAGGCCTTGAATGTTAAGATGATTACCAAAGATACCTGCATCAAAATTACATCCTGGTTTTGAGGATACATACTTCACAGCATTTGAATCATTCTTTCAGAAATCAGTGACACTTTTTACTGTCATGCTGGACATGTATTCATTTAACAAACATTTCTTGAGACCAAACACCAGGCAATCTTCTAGGTACTAAGGATATAACAGTAAAAAATCCCTACTCTCATGGGGCTTTCACTAAAGGAATAGGGGGCAGATAATAAACAAGATAAATAAGTAAAATTTATAGAGTACTAGTGACAAGTGCTAAGGAAAAAAAAGAGGAAAGGGGACAGGGGGTATCAGGATGTGATTTTAAACAAATGATGAAGGAAAGCCACGTTGAGACAGTGACATTGGTATAAGGATGATAAGGTGGTGGCCTGAGGAGGACAGTCACTCAGTCTGGAGAACCAAGTTAGCAAGGAGTGTGGGTGGAGAAGAGCAAAGGAGAGTATTAGGAAACAAGGACAGAAGTGACAGGACTAAGCCAGGAAGGTCCTATTCACTACTTTCAGGACTTTGGCTTTTTCTTTTTCCTTTGGTAGTACTGGGGATTGAGCCCAAGACTGCCCTACCACTAAGGTACACCGCATCCTTTTTTATTTTTTATTTTAAGACAGGGTCTTCCCTGTGTTGCCCAAGCTGTCCTTGGATTTGTGATCTTTCTGCCCAGCCTCCCAAGTAGCTAGAATTACAGGTTTGTAACACTGTGCCTAGCTTAAAACTTTGGCTTTTATTCTGAGTGGGACATGAAGTCACTGGAGGTTCTGAGTTTGCTCTGTCAAGTGTTCACATTTTTTKGGGGGGGACCAGGGATTGAACCCAGAAGCACTTAACCACTGAGCCACATCCCCATACCCTTTTTATATTTTAGAGACAGGGTGTTGCTGAGTTGCTTAGGGCCTCACTGAGTTGAGGAGGCTCACTTTGAACTCACAATTCTCCTGCCCCAGCCTCCCAAGCCGCTGAGATTAAAGGTGTGCACAACTGCCACTGACAAGTGCTCACTTTTTTACAAGTGGGTTCAGAACAGAGTGAGAAAGTGCAACAGCAGTGGCTGGAAGATGGGTTAGGAAGCAATCCCAATAATAGAAGTGGGAGAAGATAGTGACCTGGATCAGGGTGCTAAAACATGCTCAGAGGTAGGGAGAAGTGGACAGAACCCAGATATATTCTGAAGGTAAGACCAAGAGTATTTGCAGATGCATCCCATAGATGGGCTGTGAGAAAACCAGGGGTCAGGTTTTCACCAAGCACCTTGAAGAGTGGAGTTGCCTTTTCTGAGAAGATGAAGGCTGCAAGAGGAACAGGTTTGGTGGGAGAGAGCAGGATCTCAGGTTTGCTAGACTTTGCACAAGTCTGAGAGGTCCATCAATACTTGCTATGGTATGAATATGGTCTATCCCTACCAAAACTCATGTGGAGGCTTGGGATCCCAATACACAGTGTTGGGAAATGGGGCCTAGCAAGAGGTTTGTGGGTCATGAGGGTAGAGCCCTCAGTTGAATTAGTATCTTTCTTCTGGGAATGAGTTCTCACTCTCAAGGGAGTGGATTAGTTATGGAGACAGTAGATTGTTATACATCAGGTTCAGCTTCCTCCTCTTTCTCTTGCTTCTATTCCACAGCACCCACTTGCCATTCTGCTTTCTGCCATGAGCTAAATCAGCATAAGACCCTCACCAGATGTTCCTGCCCAATCTTGGACTTCCCAGCTTCCAGAACCATAACCCTCTTTTCTTATAAATTATCCAGTCTCAGGTATTCTGTTGTAGCAACATAAAATGGACTAGGACAATGTATAAGTAGAGTTGCAGGCTTGGCAATTAGATATATAGACCTGAAATTCAGGAGAGGTTGAAGCTAGAGACATACATCTTAAGAGATAGAAGGTGGGGGCTGGGGATGTGGCTCAAGCGGTAGCGCGCTCGCCTGGAATGCGTGCGGCCCGGGTTCGATCCTCAGCACCACATGCCAACAAAGATGTTGTGTCCGCCGAGAACTAAGAAATAAATAAATATTAAAAATTCTCTCTCTCT